ATAAGAGCTTTTGCCCTTTATACAGGAAAATCAGTTTGCTAGATATAAAATCTTTGTTTCTCACTTCCTTCTCTTGAGAATCTTGAATATGTTGGACTATTTTCCTTTAGCTTAAAGCAGTAATGTTGAAAATATAATAACCTATTAGTTTATTGTAATTCATGAGCTTTTTTTGCCTACATACCCAAAGTTTTTTCTTTGTTTTTAAAGTCTAGTAATGTTATAAACATAGAGCTACCAGATGACCCAATTATCTTACTCCTGGGCATATACCAGGAGAATGTCATATCTTGTTATTTATTTGTTTATTTATCATTAATATTATTTTGTGTGTATGAGTATATTGTCCACATGTGTATAGGTGCACCTGAGTCATGAAGTGCCTGAGGAGGTCATAGAGGGCATCAGATCCCCTGTACCTGGTTGTTAGCCACCATGTGGATGTTGGGAGCAGCACCCAGATCCTCTGCAAGAGTAGCCAGTGCTCCTAACTGCTGAATCATCTCTCCAGCCCCGAGAACTCCATATCTAAATGTAGAGAGAGTTGGAGCCCTGATATTTATTGTTACTCTATTCATTATATAGCAAGGAAATGGAACCAACTTAGTTGTCTATCAATGGATGAAAGATAATGAAAATTTGATACATACATAATATATTAATATTATTCAGCACTCAAGAAAAATGAAATAAAAATTTACAGCAAAAAGGATGGACCAAGAACGTATAATATTAAGTGAGATCACCCAGTCTCAGAACATGAAAGCAGGCATGGTTTTCCCTCATATGTGGATCCTAAACTATAATGTATATATGTGGATTTGTAAACAAATGCAGTATGGGATTATTATTGAGAATTGAGAACAAGAAAGGGTTAAAAAAAAGGAGCATAGTTATTGTCTTTCTTTTCATGGTGGATAAGTGCATTCAACCTTCCATGTATTGAAGTAACAAGAACCATTTTTGTATTCTGGAAGAGTCCAATCATCATTGTCTTTTCTGGCTAGTGATTGTGAGAGTTGGGCTTTCTTTTTTATTCCATTGATGAACAGTGCAGTGAAAACTGGACATGACAAGGCAGATTTGCTGGCTACGCTGAATAAGGCAATATAATTATTGTTTTTGGTAACTATTTTTTATTTTGCTATAAATTTTCTATTTTTAAATAAAACTTTAAAAATTAAATGTGTTTTGGTGTTGGTCATTCTGGGTCAGTATAATCAGAGAGGTGGCATCCACTTTAAGTCTGTAGTTTCAATTAAAAAAAAAACCCCAAAACTGTGATGTGTTTTTTTTATAAAGAAAAAAACAAAAGCTTATTGTTGGGGAAAAAAAATGAAATACCTTGATGAATGCTGTAAGAACTCTGCATTTTGATAGAAAACTCTGTTTAAAATGTTGATTTAGATTTACTTGCTAAGCTTGCCTGTTCTGCCTGATTGTATCTACCACACATGGATGATTAACCTAGTTGAAATGCTAAGAATTGAAGTGCTGTAAACCTCCTTCCTGGACCCTGGACCCCAGACTCAGTTGATTTACAATGTGTCCTGTAGGCCTGTTTGCACATATCAGATAACCGATAAGGAACAAAAAGAGGGAAGTTGCACCAGGCTTACACCAGATCTACCCTTCCTGGAAAAGATGTTTAACCGAAACTATAGCTTTTAGAAGATGTTTGATCAAAGTGTCTGCTGAGGAATGCTTTTTGTGTAATGACTATGTGGGCCTATATAATCTGTACCTGAAACTGAATGGGGGTCGATCGTTCTGACCAGACTTGCATGTCTCGGGAAGCCGGTCGACCCCAGCTAGCTGGAAAGTAAAGACTCTGCTTAATTTTTACATCTCCAATCCCGTGTATTTGTTACCTGGAGGGGACCCATCGAGTCACGGACCCTAACACTTATTACATTTGTTATTTAATTATTTGGTTCCTATTAATGATACATTGAATTTTCTTTACCTGTTCCCAATATCAGATACTTTCTCTCAAATCCTTTTTATGTCTTGATCTCTTTTGTGAAAATATTCTTTCTGCTCACTTTCCATTTCACTGAAGGTATTTTATATTGCATTTGTTTATTCTTGCCTTCCATCTGGTTTAGCCTTTACTTTGAAAATAAAGGTGTGTCTTTAATTCTTCATTGAGATTTATCTCCTGTTTTTCTAATTCTGGTCTTTTCATGTGTTTCACTTGTTTCTTAGTGCCTTTGAGCTCATGTTTACAAGATTTTGACTTGATTCATAGGCATGTCTTTCTAATGATGCATTTTGGTCAGGAATGTTATTTTGCTTGTGAAGGGGGCTTTATGAGAAGGGTTATGGTCAAGGAGGGGTGCTAATGCCAGGTCAAGGGAAGGGTAGAAGTGCTAGGGGAGGGAGACCTCAGAAAGGAGGGACTACTCTTACTAGCTTGGGTCTTCTTACTGTTCCCCTGGTTCTGGAACCACACTGTCTATAGGTGTTGACACGAGTCCTGGCTCTGCGTGGACCCCAAGTCTTAGATTTCTTGGGTTTAGCGCCTAAAGTTAGTGGCGCTAAATGTGCAGGGGTTTCTGAGACTTGGAATTCTTCATTGCCTTCGCCATACTGAAGCTGGTCTGGGCTCAGAGCTCAGGAGCACCTACTTACATACTCTCCAAGAACAATGGGGGGTGGGGCAAGCCCCTGTCCTGCTTGGTCATCAAGATCCTCCCCAGCCACTACTGGCTAAAGAGTTGCCTTGATGTCACAAAACACAACCCGCGATGCCTTGTGGGCCTTAGGGGAGCAGGCACAGGGATGTGGACCACGGTGTGGCTCAGATAGCAGAAAGTTCCATTCTAGACAGCTAGGGAAAGAGATTCTGGGAAGACAAAGAGGGTCTGGCTGTAGTTAGGAGACTTTCTGTGAACATCTCCATGCCACCCTTCTTCATATACCCTGTTCAGTCATGGTGTATCACATGGGAGAGCTTTTTCCTATAAGTCTTCCCCAAGCTTCCCCCTCTTAGGAGACTTTCTGTGAACATCTCCATGCCACCCTTCTTCTTATACCCTGTTCAGTCATGGTGGCTCTCCTGGGAGAGCGTGTCACTCCAAATGTAATGTGGTTATATTTAAATATCAGTACATAAATGAGTCACCCCACACAAAGCAAAGAGAATGTACCCATAAATAAACATCTCTCTACCCTTTGAATTTGACATGAAAGCCCCCTAATTTTGGTTACATGTTTTTTCTTCCAGTCCTTTCATTTATAGACAAAAATTAGGACCTTTCCAGTATTGTTTTTAAAGATTTCTAAAATGTTATGTATATGAGTGTTTTTCTACATGAATGTATGTGTACCATGTATGTGCAGAGGACTGATGAGGGAGTCAGATCCCCTACAACTGGAATTACAGATGATTGTGAGCGGCCATGTGTATGGTGGGAACGGAGCCGGCATCCTCCTCAAGAACCACACATGCTCTTAACTGCTGAGCCAGCTCTCCACCTCTGAACTGTGAATTACTGAAGTCTCTATGTTTATCTTTATTCTGTTCTTGGACTCTGGCCACACTATTATTACATTCGCCCTGGGGACGCCTCCTCGGTAGTATTCGGCTCCTCCATCAGCTGGTGGTAGTGCCCAAACAATGGTTTTCCTTGATCGTTCTTGGTCTTTTTAACAGAGGCCATAGTTTTTTCAGAAGCCTTCCCCTTAGGGCTCTGTGGCAAGAGTCTTCTGCCCTTATTGGTGGTCTTCTGGACCTGGAAGGACAAAAGGATAAAGACACCGATTTGGGAAAAGATGGACTGTGTGAAGGCGGCTTAATGAGAAGGGTTATGGTCGAGGAGTGGTGTTAATGCCAGGTCAAGGGAAGGGTAGAAGTGCGAGGGGAGGGAGACCTCAGAAAGGAGGGGCTACTCTTACAAGCTTGGGTCTTCTTACCTTTCCCCTGGTTCTAGAACCAGCCTGTCTATAGGTGTTGACACCAGTCCTGACTCTGGGTTGATGGCGAGTCTTAGATTTCTTGGGTTTAGCGCCTGAAGTTAGTGGCGCTAAGTCTGCAGTGGGGTTCTGAGACTTGGGCTTCTTCGTTGCCTTCGCCATACTCAAGCTGGTCTGGGCTCAGAGCTCAGGAGCACCTACTTACATACTCTCCAAGAACAATGGGGGGTGGGGCAAGGCCCTCAGTCCTGCATGGTCATCATGATCCTCCCCAGCCACTACTGGCTAAAGAGTTGCCTTGATGTCACAAAAAACAACCCGTGATGCCTTGCGGGACTGAGGGGAGCAGGCACAGGGATGGGGACCAAAGTGTGGCTCAGATAGCTGAAAGTAGCATTCTAGACAGCAAGGCAAGGAGATTCTGGGAAGACAAAGAGGATCTGGCTGTGTTTAGGAGACTTCCTGTGAACATCTCCATGCCACCCTTCTTCTTATACCCTGTTCAGTCATGGTGGATCTCATGGGAGAGCGTGTTCCCAAGTCTTCCCCAAGCCTCCCCTTACTTGGTGGTTCATTGCACTGTGTCTATCTGTTAGCCTTTAATGGTTAGATTTAATTTTGAGTATTTTACCTTAAATCCCTCCGAATGTTTCTCATACACTCACCTCTTCCCCTTCTTCCTGCCTCCCTTCCTCTCCTGCACCTCCTCCCCATCCCTCCTCTCCACCCCTCCTCCCCACCCTCTTCCTCATCCCTCTTTCCCAATCCCCCTGCCCTCCCGCCTCCTGCTTCTCCTTTCTTCCCCACCCCTCTTCTCTCTCTACCATTCCTCCCTTCCTGATCTTCCTCCCTTCCCATCCCTCCTTTTCCATCCCTCCCTTTCCATCTCTTCCTTCTCAGCCCTCCTCCTCCCCCATCTTTCCTTCCCACTCCAACATCAGAGACCCACAGGAACACATCTTTTCCTGAGACTGGTTTTATTTGAACATCAAGTACTGTTTGGTGAAATTCAGTCAGTCTACAGGGTTGGGCATTTACTCAGTTGCCAGACCTTCCTCGTGGTCTCTGGTGGCATTCTGAATTTATTGGCTCTCCGGGTCAGTGACAGATGTGCTGGAGCTCTCTAAGCAGCTCTCCTCTGATTCCGGCTCTGGGGACGCCTCCTCGGTAGTATTCGGCTCCTCCATCAGTTGGTGGTAGTGACCCAATAACGGTTTTTCTTGATCGTTCTTGGGCTTTTTAACAGGGGCTGTAGTTTTTTCAGAAGCCTTCCCCTTAGGGCTCCATGGCAAGGGTCTTCTGCCCTTATTGGTGGTCTTCCGGACCTGGAAGGACAGCAGGATAAAGACACCGATTTGGGAAAAGATGGACTATGTGAAGGGGGCTTAATGAGAAGGGTTATGGTCGAAGAGGGGTGTTAATGCCAGGTCAAGGGAAGGGTAGAAGTGTGAGGAGAGGGAGACCTCAGGAAAGGAGGGACTACTCTTACTAGCTTGGGTCTTCTTACCTTTCCCCTGGTTCTGGAACCAGCCTGTCTATAGGTGTTGACACCAGTCCTGACTCTGGGTTGATGGTGAGTCGTAGATTTCTTGGGTTTAGTGCGTGAAGTTAGTGGCGCTAAGTGTGCCGGCGGCTTCTGAGACTTGGACTTCTTCTTTGCCTTTGCCATACTCAAGCTGGTCTGGCCTCAGAGCTCAGGAGCACCTACTTACATACTCTCCAAGAATAATGGGGGGTGGGGCAAGCCCCTCAGTCCTGCCTGATCATCATGATCCTCCCCAGCCACTACTGGCTAAAGACTTGCCTTGATGCCACAAAACACAACCCGTCTTTGCGGGCCTGAGGGGAGCAGGCACAAGGATGGGGGCCACGGTGTGGCTCAGATAGCAGAAAGTAGCATTCTAGACAGCAAGGGAAGGAGATTCTGGGAACACAAAGAGGGTCTGGCTGTATTTAGGAGACTTTCTGTGAACATATCCATGCCACCCTTCTTCTTATACCATGTTCAGTCATGGTGGCTCTCCTGGGAGAGCGTATTCCTGTAAGTCTTCCCCAAGCCTCCCCCTACTTGGTGGTTCATTGCACTGTGTCTCTCTCTCAGTCTAACGGTTAGATAGAATTTTGAGTATTTTACCTTAAATCCCTCCAAATGTTTCTCATATACTCACTTCTTCCACTTCTTCCTGCCTCCCTTCCTCTCCTTCCCCTCCTCCTCATCCCTCCTCCCCAATCCCCCTGCCCTCCCCCCTCCTGCTCCTCCTTCCTTCCCCCCCACTCTTCTCTCTCCACCATTCCTCCCTTCCTGATCTTCCTCCCTTCCCATCCCTCCTTTTCCATCCCTCCCTTCCCATCTCTTCCTTCTCAGCCCTCCTCCTCCCCCATCTTTCCTTCCCACTCCAACATCAGAGACCCACAGGAACACATCTTTTCCTGAGACTGGTTTTATTTGAACATCAAGTACTGTTTGGTGAAATTCAGTCAGTCTACAGGGTTGGACATTTACTCAGTTGCCAGACCTTCCTCGTGGTCTTTGGTGGCATTCTGAATTTATTGACTCTCCGGGTCAGTGACAGATGTGCTGGAGCTCTCTAAGCAGCTCTGCTCCGATTCCGGCTCCAGCGCCACCTTGGTAGTTTTCGGCCCCTCCATCAGTTGGTGGTAGTGCCCCAACAGCGGTTTTCCTTGAGCGTTCTTGCGCTTTTTAACAGGGGCCGTAGTTTTTTCAGAAGCCTTCCCCTTAGGGCTCCGTGGCAAGGGTCTTTTGCCCTTATTGATGGTCTTCTGAACCTGGAAGGACAGCAGGATAAAGACGTCGATTTGGGAAAAGATGGCCTATGTGAAGGGGGCTTAATGAGAAGGGTTATGGTCGAGGAGGGGTGTTAATGCCAGGTCAAGGGAAGGGTAGATGTGCAGTTGCTTGGCTCTGTTCTTCCCTTCCTCTATATACAGACTCTGACTTTTGTGGATCTCTGTTGTTTCTCCTGCCCAACATTGACTCTATTCTTAAATTTAAAAAATTATTAGAGACTTTTATTAAATAAATTATATTAGCTGCTCTTTCCACATAAAATGATATGAATATTCGTATCATTTATTAGTCATTTCAATATATATGTATATCATATAACATCATGATATATGAACTTTGAATTATGTAACAACATTAATTTTGAAATAAATATTAAAAATAAAAGGAAAAATATTGTATGGAGGGAGAAGGTGACCCAGTGTCCCATTCCTAGCTGAGGAAGTGTTGGCAATTGTTAGCTTTGAAGAAAGAAGGAGTCAGTTTTCTTTAAGAGTATGGCCCCTGTGACGTCAGTAACACTTCAGTGGATGGCCACACATGCAAGAATACATTGGAAGTATAAATTGTGTTAAAAAAGACACAAAACTGGGAAAGTAAGAAACGGGAGAGGAAAAAAAGAAGAATCATACATATCGTAAGAAATCCATTATTTTCCGTAGACTAACTTGTTTTAAGTAAAAAAAAATCATGTTAAATAGTGAATGCTGTCTGTTTTAAACAGAATCAGAAACAACAAAGGAAGTGAAAAGGGAATCCACTGAGCAGGAGAAAATCTTCATCTGTTACACATTTGATAGAGGATTAATATCCAGAATATACAAAGAACTCAAAAACAAAGAAAGAAAAAAATAATTGACCCAATAAGATGGGCTAAGAACTTGAAGAGAGAGTTCTCAAATGAAGAAATAAAAATAGGAAAGAAACACCTTAAAAAGAGCTTTGATTTTTTTTAGTGAATATTTTCCCAAATAGTCTTGCTTTAGATATTAAAAATTTAAACATTTTTAGCAATAGAGTGTGATAACTCTATACATAACTGATCTGCTGAAAAATTGAAATCATTCATTTAGGGTTGGGAATGGGCCCAAGGTCCCATCTCTAGGCACTATAAACTATTTATTAAAGATATCCTAAGTAATACGTTGCTACCAAGGCCCACAAGAATTCCCCAGTAGTGCCTGAGATGATAGCTCAGTTGTAATGTGGATGCCTTACAAGCATGAGGACACCAGGTGGATCCTGAAAGTTTACGTTATAACAAACAAACAAAACAAACATGGTGGTGTACAGTAGTCGTTCCAACACTTGGGAGATAATGCAGGCAGATTTCTAGAGCTCACTGGTCAACCAGCCTAGCCTACTTGGAGATTTCAAACCAGTGAGATAGCCTGTATCAAAACAAAATAAAACAAAACAAAAACAACAACTAAAACAACATAAAAAAAATCAAGGTAGACAGTGCCTGAGGAACAGCATCTGACAGTAACCCCTGATCCTCACAAGCACATTCATGTACACATGCATACACACACACACACACACACACACACACACACACACACACATCCTTCTTAAACTTAATAATGCAAAAATTGGAAATATTGTTTTTCTGAAAATAGCTTTATTTTAAGATTACCAGAAAAATGAAACTGTAACGTTTATAAAACAAAGACATATAAGCAAAAGGGAAATTATTATACAACTTTTGTCATTCTTCTACATTTTATATATTATATAAGAACAACAAAAATTAAAAATAAATTTTTACAAATGGAAATAAATAATGATGTCATGGGGATTGGAGAGATGTTTCTGGAATAATCATGAATGTTCTATTTTGTGCTTTACACAACAGCGATATATATGAATTTGGGAAAATGTATAGAGTTAGATTGTGTGGTAGTTTGAATGAGAAATTTCCCCTTAGGCTCCAGTATTTGGACACTTGATCTACAGTTGGTGTCACTGTTTTAGGGAAGTCATGGAATCTTTAGGAGGTGCAACCTTGCTGGAGGAAGCATGTCACTGGGGCACGTTTTGAGAGTTCATAGTCTCACCCCACTTCCAGTTCACTTTCTCTATTTCATGTCTGTGGTTTGAAGATGATAATTCTCAGCTTTTGGTTCCTGTTGCCATGCCTGACATCTGCTGCTATGACTCTCCACTGTGATGGATGCTATTTCTCTGGAACTGTTTGCCAAAATAAACTCTTTCTTCCATAAATTGCTCTTGGCCGTGGTATTTTGTCATGGCACCAGAAAATTAACTAATACAGACTATCATGAAATGGGTACTTTTCTGTATGTGTGTTGTACCTCAGTTAATAACATTCAAAACAAAGAAACAGAGAAGTAGTATAGGGGAAGCATCCCATACCTGGCACTGGGCCTTTTTTGGGGGGCAACCTATTACTTTTGGGAGGTGCATAACCTTCTCAGTAGGGTAACTCCAACTGAACTCTTTTATATTAATATGTATGTATGCTTATAAATAGTAGGTTTCATAATGGCTTTTTCAAACATCCCAAGTGTTAGTTATCCCTCCCCATCACCTCTTCTTCCACCTTACCCTCCCATCTCTCTCTCTCTACTCAAACCTCTATCTCTATTATTCCCTTTTCCCGCTTCTATCACCTGAGTTCTACCATTCCCCCTCCCTTAAGATCTTTCTTTCTTCTCCAAATTTTTTGAAATTGTGGGCCCTTGGCCTAGAAATGAGCCCTGGCATGTTCATTTGGCATGTCCATAGGGTCTTAGCTGCTCTATATACATTCTTACCAGTGACTTCAGCCTTTATTTTCCATGGGAATGGGCTTCTCTCTATGATTTCAACTGATGTTCTCAAGTTCATCTTTCTTGATTTCAGGGGAACATCTTGGTTAGTTTAGTATTACCTTGTTCCTGCTCCTTCAGACAGATAGGTTATCTCTCCCACACAGAGGCTGATATCACTTAAGTCTTGGGGTTACTGGTGAGTTTTCCTCCCACTTAACACTTTGGGGTGTCAAAGGACACATTATCAGCTAGTTGGTTGGAAAATAATATATTGAGTGTTTACTTTTGATCTCTAATGATTCTGATTTGCATGAAAATTTGAAGAATTCCAAGAGTGATGTCAGTAATATGTCTGTCATCTTCCAGGCCTTTTCTATTCCTTCATATATTGATGGTAAGTATAATAATAATAATAAAAAAGGAGGTCTGGGAAAGGAAGCTGACACATACTTACATTCCTAAAAATGATTTATTAGGAGAAGGATCTTTAGGTGGAAGGGAGAGAACATTAACTAGCAAATGGTAAGATACATGTGAGAGAAAAATATGATGGGGGCTTTAAAAGGAAGGAGACACTTCCATTTAAAATCTGGAGAGAGAGAGAGAGAGAGAGAGAGAGAGAGAGAGAGAGAGAGAGAGAGAAAGAGAGAGAGAGATCAACTATGGGAAGGGATGGTGGAGATAAGGCCAGAGCAGCCTTCAGATAAAATCTGCAGAGCAATCCCCAGAATAAAGAAAATAACAGACCTTTAAAAGTTTTTAAGGGTTGGTGGGAAGCTTCATATTACATATTTAGTTCATCATAGTATATGTAACAAAGAACATGAAAGAGCCAGGTACAAGAATTGACATGCTTTATATTTGTTTTTAGAAAATCCTTCTAGCACTATTCTGGTATAACATATTTTTAGGATAGCATCTATGTCTAGAGCTACTTAACTACAAAGTGAAATTTCCAGCATATTATTCAACCTACCACAAGTAGAAAAGTACCATTCATAAGAGGAGCTTCTATTGTATGATGACCAGATACCAATCATTGGCACATTGGGTCTACAGCTATAGTATTGATGCCTTCAAATGGAG